GATTGAGAAATTGGTGTCAGAAATGTTGGCTTCAGGGATCATTAGGCCGAGCAACAGCCCCTTCTCCAGCCCAGTATTACTGGTCAAAAAGAAGGATGGAAGCTGGCGCTTCTGTGTCGATTATCGCGCCCTCAATCAGCTTACCGTGCCAGACAAATTTCCGATTCCGGTCATCGACGAACTGTTGGACGAGTTGCACGGGGCCGCTGTGTTTTCGAAGTTAGATCTGCGGGTAGGTTACCATCAAATACGAATCAAGGAATTCGACGTGGAGAAGACGGCATTCCGGACGCACGAAGGCCACTATGAATTCTTGGTCATGCCGTTTGGCTTGACCAACGCTCCAGCGACGTTTCAGGCGTTATGAACAAGGTATTTCAACCCTATTTGCGCCAATTCGTTTTAGTATTTTTCGACGATATTTTAATTTATAGTCGAACATGGGAAGAACACAAAGAACACGAATAACACCTCGTGGTAGTCTTGGGCGTTCTGAGGAAGGAGCAGCTATTCGCAAACCGGAAGAAATGCGTTTTTGGACAGCAACAATTGGAGTACTTGGGGCACGTGATCTCGGCAGCAAGGGTGGCCGCTGATCCAGCCAAGGTGGAGGCCATTCTATCTTGGCCCACACCCAAGAACGTACGGGGAGTTAGGGGATTCCTAGGATTTGCTGGTTATTACCGGCGTTTCGTTCAGAATTTTGGATGGCTGGCAAAGCCCATGACCGACTTGCTCAAACGGGGCGAATTCCGGTGGACCCCAAAGGCAGGGGCTGCCTTTGAAGCGCTGAAGCTGGCTATGACTACTCTCCCAGTCCTTGCTATACCGGATTTCTCCAAGCAGTTTGTGGTAGAAACAGATGCTTCTGGCTCGGGAATTAGGGCAGTGTTAATGCAGGGGGGTAGGCCAATTGCATTTTTCAGCAAGGCGCTCTCAGACACTTCTAGGCTCCGGTCTGTCTATGAACGGGAACTTATGGCGGTCGTGTTGGCTGTCCAAAAGTGGCGCCATTACCTCCTTGGCGGGCACTTTGTGGTACGCACCGACCAGCAGAGCCTCCGGTTCCTCATGGACCAGCGACTGTTACCTCCGGAGCACCTCCGCTGGGTTATTAAGCTCTTCGGGTATGACTTCGAGCTAGAATACAAGCAAGGGGCGTCGAATCGTGTGGCTGACGCACTTTCTAGACAAGGGGCAGACACAACGGTGGAGTTAGCGGCCATCTCCATTCCGTAGCTAGTTAATTGGGCTGAGATTAGGCGGGAACAACGGCAAGACGACGAATGCGCTGCTTTGTTACAAAAACTCGCTAAAGGCGAGGAGTTGGCCGCGGGTTGGTCCCTGCATCAAGACTTGTTGTGTTACCAAGGTAGAGTCTGTGTTACCAAGGTAGAGTAGTCCTTCCTAGGCAATCTCCGTGGATACAACGCATGTTGCACGAATTTCATGACTCGGCGTTAGGGGGTCATTCCGGTTTTCTGCGCACTTATAAACGAGTGGCGCATAACTTGTTCTGGCGGGGAATGAAGGAAGATATACGTCAGTATGTTGCTCAATGTTCCATTTGCCAACATTCGAAGTATGAGGCCATGACCCCCGCAGGATTGCTCCAATCGCTGCCGGTACCGGAGAGGGTGTGGGAAGATATCTCCATGGACTTCATAGGGGGGTTGCCACGGTCGCAAGGAATTGATACGATTTTGGTGGTTGTGGACCGGCTGGCTAAGTACGCTCATTTCCTGCCACTCTCACCCGTTCACAGCCAAGAAAGTGGCTGAATTGTTTGTTCGTGAAGTAGTCCGGCTCCATCATCACCGATCGAGACCCCCTCTTCATGAGCTTCTTTTGGCGCGAGTTATGTCGTATGCAGGGAACCAAGCTGTACCGCAATTCGACGTACCACCCTGAATCTGACGGCCAAACCGAGGTTGTGAACAGGTGTTTGGAAGTGTACCTCCGCTGTTTCGCAAGTGATCAACCTCGCTTGTGGCTCCACTACTTACCATGGGCAGAATTCTGGTTCAACACCAACTATAATGCGTCCACGCGGCATTCCCCCTTTCAGGTGTTGTATGGCCACGATCCTCCCACTGTTCACCGCTTCCAGGACTCCCCTTCGGCAGTGGAAGATGTCAACCTCCAGTTGCAGCAAAGGAATGAGTTCCTCGATATTCTTAGGGGCAATCTCGTGCTTGCACAGCAGTGCATGAAGAAGTTCGCAGATAGTCACCGTCGGGATCTTTCCTTTTCGGCCGGTGACCGTGTTCTGCTCAAACTCTGCCCCTATCGCCTCAAGTCCCTGGCCCGTCGACCCAACGAAAAGTTGGCTCCATGATTTTATGGACCATTTGAAGTTTTGGAGAAGATCGGAGAAGTGGCCTATCGTCTCAAGCTTCCTGAGGACGCACGGATTCATTCTGTTTTCCATGTCTCCCAGCTGAAACCTTTCAAGGGGGATGCACTCCAGCACCAACCACTTCCCCTGCAGCTCTCGGATGAGATGGAGTTGCAGGTCGAGCCTTCCGAGGTCCTTCGTGGCAGATGGACTTCTGTTGGTGGGAAACGAGTCGCTGAAGTGCTGGTTCAATGGAAGGACCTGCCGGATTGGGAGGCCACCTGGGAGCTTTTGGAGGTGTTTCAGGCTCAATTTCCTCATTACAACCTTGGGGACAAGGTTGTCTTCGAAGGGGGGAGTATTGTCAGGCCCCCGGTGAGGAAGGTCTACACCAAGAGGACCAAGGGTGGACTGGTGGGAGACTCAAGCCCAAATGGAACGGAGGAAAGGGGTTTAGGTGTCAAGACAGGCCCATCTGGGAATTCGGGTCTGGCTGAGGGAGGGGAAGCTGACGTGGGAAGTTAGTTAGAGAATCGATGAGGTATTTGAAGGGAGGAATGATTGCTATGAGAGGGGCATCATTTTTGGCTTAAGCTGGTTGTTAGGAGGTTGTGGGATTCCTCGAAAATCCCTCTCTATCCCTTTTGTATTACTGTAATTTCCATTTCTGTTTGTATTGTTGAGCTTCAAGTCAAGCTCATTTTTGTATTCCGGTGATTAGTTTAATAAAAATACCACTCAGAGGTTCTTCTTCCATTCATAACAGTAAATTCTAGTGTTAAGGCCAGGATTCTATCATAATCCCTACCAATTTATTTCTTATCATTGTTTAGAATTCCCAAGGGAATAGCGGGATCCATTGAAAAACTTATGAGGGATTTTTTTTGGGAAGGCAACGAGAAGTCAAATTCTGATCACCTTATTGCTTGGGAGGAAGTTTGCAAGCCTCAAGATAAAGGTGGTCTGGGGATAGGTAATTTAGTTTTTCGAAATAAAGCACTGCTCGCTAAATGGTTGTGGAGATTTCCAAGGGAGAGTGAAACGCTTTTATATGGAAGCACATTCGGTGGTTGGTGGTCAGGGGTCAGCAATAGAGTGACATTTAGATGCCCTTGGAAGGCAATTCAAGAAGTAAAAGTTGAGTTTTCTGCCAATGTTAGTTTGTAGGTAGGGGATGGGAGTAGAGTGAGATTTTCGGAGGACGTTTGGGTTGGAGGGCCTTCCTTTTCTAATCAATTTCCGGGACTATATAGAATTTCCAGTGTCCAAAATGAATCAATTATTTCCTTTCATTCATGTGATGTTGATAATAATTCGTCATGGAATTTTCATCTACGTAGGGATCCTAGTGAAAGAGAACTGGAAGAGTTCACGGAATTATTGGGTTATTTAGAGGGGGTAAGATTGAGCGGTCTTAACTCTGATAGGTGGGAGTGGGATTTAGAGAGTTCGGGCCTGTTTTCTTGTATATCTTTTTTTCCCGTTCCTGAAAGATCACCAATCATTCCCTCCATTTCAGTTTTCTCATTTCATTTGGAAATCCTTAGTTCCTCTAAAGTCAAGAGTGTTTAACAGGCTACTTGTGTTAAGTAAACTGAATAATCAGGACTTGATGCAAGGGAGGAAACCATGTCTCTGTCTTTCTCCTAGCTGGTGTGTTCTTTGCAAGGAAGTTGGCGAGTCGCTGGATCATATCTTCCTTCATTGCCCCTTTTCCCTGAATATTTGGAACCAAGTGCTACGGGAATTTGGTTTTTCAATGGTAATTTATTAATTGGGAGAAACAGACTTTGCAGGAATCTTTGGAATGTTGTTGTATTAGCCGTTACTTGGTCATTGTGGCTAGAAAGGAACTACAGAATGTTTGAAGACACTGAGGAGGATAGTAAAGTAGTGTGGGATAAATTAATGTCCTGGGTAGCCTTATGGCTTTATCAAACTAAAGGCTTTTCTGGGTTTTCTTTTGCAGATCTGTTAAAGGGGATGGGACTTGGTTTTTCAGTAATTAGGGCTGTTCAGTTTAACTTTTCTTTCTTGCTTCAGTCTATCAGTTTTGTATTTCTGGTTCTGTTGGACTCCTTGTCCCCTCTTATCATTAATAAAGTCGTTTCTTATTAAAAAATATATAAATAACTTTCAAAGTTGTAACATCTCCCGGAGGTCATAGTAGACAAATTTCAAAACTGAAATATCATACCAACATCAAATGAAATCTCTAGAATAGTTCTATACAAACATAAAATGAGATGTGACGTCCTTTCAATAATAACTTATTTATCATGCTAGGAACCTCCATGTGACAAAGCAAAAGTCAAAGAAGCTCATCGAGTGTTTTTTTTATTACTTTCCAATTATTTTTCAGTGCAAAACCTTTTTTTTCATCTATAAGCTAACCAAATGCTCTCAAAATGATATAACTCTAAACCCTGCGTGCAAGAAATACCTAAAAGATAAGAAAAGCTTTTTTTATAAGGAAAACACCTTTATTGATGAAAATCAATTGCAGGTATAAGAGGATAAGGTATCCTCACTGCCATAAGAAATAGGAAAGTAAAACTGGAAAATGTAACAGGTGAACTAACAGCTATTCAGAATAACTGCAGATAAACCTGCCAAAATTATGTTAAAGCCTTGTGCAGTGAATAGATATAGCAGCACTCACCCCAAGATTCCCAAAACAAGTTTCGCCAAGTAACCAAGAACAGTCAAAGCCCAAGTAGTCTCGGCCTGAATTCAACCAAATAAATCAGCAAAGTTATAAAAGTATAAAAATAATTGTTAAGCAGAAAAAGAGGTATACAACCATGTGTTTTCCCGCATTACCTTCTCTCCCTGTGGGTACATCTCTTCCAGAAGCTTCACGTCTTCTTCCAACTGAAGCAATTCCTGTTAAATTAAGCAAGCATAATGTGACTTCCAACGACCGCATAGCCTATCTTTTCAAGATGTTACAGCGACCAATTTACAACCCCATGTATAAAACCATTGTTAAGACACATTTATCCAAGTGACGTAGCAATAAGTGCTGGTATCGCACACAATATGAAGCATTGTTCTTTCAAATGAATGACACATCGTACATTATGGTCTTACATCATATTACGGTGCATACTGCATGGAAGAAAGCTTATTGTCACGCCCGATTTTCCCTTCGCTCCGCTACGAGGTTTTCCCACAAAGACATGGGCATTTTTGTCATTTCACGAGGTTCTGGAGGGCTCCATAATGCTCTAGGCTTGTAATATCTACTTAGCTCTTCTGGCTGCTTCTAGGCTAAGTTTACTTAAGGGATAAGTACTTCATGGATAAGTTTTACCCTTTAGCCCCTGTTTGGAATCGGTTTTGAAACCGTTTTTCATGAAAATCGAGGCACCGAAAATGGAATTGATTCCCAAACCGCGTTTGGTGCATTAATGGAATTGAAAATGAGATTGGAAATGGTCTTTCTGTTTCTCTTATTTCCATTGTTTTTTGAAAACGGTTTTTTATCGTTTTCCTTTTTTCATTTCCGTTTTCATCTCTCTCTCTCGTCTGTCATCACAATCGACCACCGTCCGTCGACATCCGCCACCAAGTGTCAGCCAACCTACTCCTCGTTCCCTGAAATTCCCGTTTTCCTGGTGTTGCCGAGATTCTGGCGTTGTCGAAATTCCCGTCGACGTCCGCCACCAAGCGTCAACTCGAGATTCTGGTGTTGTTGATCTTGGCGATCTTGAGCCTATTCTCGGATTTGTTCTTCGCAAGGAGTCTGATCTCCATGGCCGCTTGCTTCTGGTCCTCAATCGAACAGGACTCGAGGTTAGAGACGAGCTGTCGGACTAGCTCGTGGGAGTTATCCGTTGCGCAAGCAATCAATAGCCACCGACTCTATTTAACTCTTTTACCGCATCACAACGACGCGGGACGCTGCGATGGAGGATATGTAAAAGCTGGGAAAATCGCACCTGGTAGTTCATTTGTCAATTTGGTAGGATTTGGAGTGATACAGTGAAGTGATGAATGAACAAATAAAAGCTAAAAACATGGAGGAGATAGAGAGAGAGAGAGAGAGAGAGAGAGAGAGAGAGAGAAGGAGAGAGAGAGAGAGGGTAGTAGAGTGAGAGAGACAGAGACATTAACACCTGGACTAAGCTCTTGGGGCCTAGACTTACACGTGCACATAACTGACCACACCAAATCTCAGTCGTGTGAGCACGTGCAAGGGTCTCTTCTCTTTAAGCGCGTGCATGGAAAGTTTGTTGCTCCAAACAGAGTTTCAATTTTTTCTCATTTTGAAAACAATCTCAAACTAAAACTACCAAACGCATTTTCAATAATAATTCTAAAATGAAAATGAAAACGTTTTCATTTCCATTTTCATACAGAAAACAAAATCATTTTGAAACGAGTTCCAAACGCACCCTTAGTTTTTGCACGCAACCGTTAGATCAGCGCCATGTGTTTTGATCCGGGTCGTCCGTCTGAGAGGCTTCATTTGTATATCCCTTAGAAAATTTGTAGTAAGAGCTCTTGTAAAGCATTCTTAAGATACTTAGGCCTCGTTCAATTCGCAGATTCAAGTTGAGATGTAATTTTATGTGAGAGCTTTTCACTATAGTAGAAAAAGTTAGATGTGACTTCTTGTGAAAGCTTTTAAATGTAGCAAAATTGGAATTGAAAATTTGAATTGGTGAAATGAACGAGGCCTTAATGAAATTCTACTACTTTCTCACTTTCTCGAGTTCCTTCTCTTGTCGCTTTACTTTGATTTTGCTAGCCTTGCGTTTGTGTGAATTAGGCTTGTTAGCATAGCTCAGGAGTGCTAACGCAGCACGGTCGCCATGTGAGAAGAAAAGGTCTTTGACAAGTGGTATCAGAGCCGGATTGACATGATGGTGAAAAACAACAAGAATGTTGTTGGCTCGTCAGAGATGGAGATCACGCAGGAACAACGAGGTCATGAGGAAACGGTCGACCCTACGACTCCAAGACTACGAAGTAGATCCAAAGATCTCATTTATAGCTTTGATTCACATATGCCCTGCGTGGAGGAAAGCGTGGGTGGCACAGGTGCCCAGATGAACGACCTTTACCAGCAAGTCTAAGGCCTTGAGGCGGAAGATGCCGAGATCCACACTGCAATGAAGGCCGTGATGGTCCAACTAGAAGAGACCTTGTGAGCGGAGATGGGGAAGATGCATGACCAGCTCATGGGGGAGCTTTCCAAGGTGTGTGAAGTATTCCAATACGAGCTCAACAGCACCATAGCCCGGTTGGAGGACTTGCAGGGTGACGTTGCACTTTGCAAGCGCCATGTCCGTTGGGTCAAGCACCACAGTCGAGGCTAGGAAGGTCGATGTGCCGAAGCCAAAGACCTTCGCGGGATCACAGAGCGCAAAAGAAGTAGACAACTTCTTGTGGGGGCTAGAGCGATACTACAGAGCTGTCAGCATCACGGAGGAGGCCTCCAAGATTCACACTGCAGCTTTGTATCTCACCGACACCGTCGTGCTATGGTGGAGGAGAAGGCGTGGAGACATCGAGAAAGGTCTGTGCACCATCTCTACTTTTTATGACTTTAAAAGGGAGCTTAAACGACAATTCTATCCCGAGCATGCCGAGGAAGAGGTGAGAGCTCGCTTACAAAGGTTGAAGCAGTCAGGGAGCATCTGTGACTCCATCAAAGATTTCACCAACTAAGTGCTTGAGATCCCAGACCTGTCCGACAAAGACTCACTCTTCAACTTTATGGATGGACTTCAACAATAGGCCAAGACCGAGCTGAGGCGACGTGGAGTGCCGTAGCTGAGAGCCTTATCAATTACACTGGTCAGAAAGAGTCCACCAACAAGCCAAAGGATAAGAAGAGTGGCCAAGCCAAAGGTGGGGGAGATAGGGGCCAATGCAAGGAGGGCAACCAAGAGTCCAACCCATCAAAGAACAAGGACTCGTCCTCATGGAAAGGCAAAGAAGAGGGAAAGCAGAAGGACAATCAGGGCTCAGGCAGGCAGCCATCGAACAAGTGCTTCATTTGTGATGGCAACCATTGGGTTCGAGAATGCCTACAGCGACAAGCCCTTAATTCGCTCCTAGCAAAGCATTGAGAGGAGAAAGGCACCAATGGAGGCGACAACGGCGCACACATGAGTTCTTTGCAGCTGCTCAATGTTATCCAGTCCACCCCAAAAACGGAAGCCAAGGGGTTGCTCTATGTGGACGTGGCCATCAATGGGAAGGCCACAAAGGCCACGCTCGACACAGGTGTGTCTCACAATTTTGTCTCTGTTGATGAAGTGAGCAAGTTAGGTCTTAAGGCAACAGGTGGAGGGGGCTCCATCAAGGCGGTTAACTCAGCAGCACGACCCATTCATCGTGTAGCTCGAGGGGTCAAGGCCAACCTTGGTGCATGGTCTGGCCATGTTGATTTCTCAATGGTTCCGATGGACGACTTCAAGGTTGTCCTAGGATTGGAGTTCCTTGATCGCGTCAAGGCAATCCAAGTGCCATTCACCAACAACATGTGCATTATGGATGGCAACACGGCTTGTGTGGTACCGACGGCTAGGTCCACGAAGCAAGAGACAAAGGTGCTTGCAACGTTGCAGTTCAAAAAGGGCGTAAGAAGGGACAAAGAAAGCAACTTCGCTATCCTTAGCGAGTACGATGACGGGGAGGTAAAGCCCAACATGGTCGAGCCAAAAGAGGTCGCAGCCGTACTTTAGGAGTTCAAGGACGTTGCACCCTCAGAGTTGCCAAGGCGATTGCCACTGAGAAAGGGAGTAGACCATCATATTAAGTTGGAGTCAGGCACGAAGCCACCAGCCATGAGTGCCTACCATATAGCACTGCCAGAGTTAGAGGAGCTTAAGAGGCAGTTGAAAGAGTTGCTCGATGCATGGGACCAGCAATATGAGTCACGAAAAGACAACAAAACTAAAAAACGACACGAATTTCGTGGATTAGGATTGAGGAAAAAAAAAGTTTGGGTCAGAATTAGGTCGACCTAAAATTGACACGAAAAACACATGTCAATTTCGGGTTGGACCTGCCTAACTTGAAAACAACACGAAACTCGTAAAAAACTAAAAAATATATATATTTTTCATTACATATTTTAAATTTTATTATGAACTTGTGATATCATGATGTTATACAAAAAATCTTATACCATTATTTGCTTAATTTTGACGGATGTTATTGTATTTTAGAGTGTTATGGGTTTTAAATTATTTTTAATATGTAAAAAAACTAAAGAAAAGTATAATTTTCGTGTCAATTTCGGGTTCACGAGTCAATTTCGTGTCGTGTCATGTAAACCCGTAAAGTGGTCGTGTCGTGTTCATGTCAAAACACAACACGAACACGACACATGACACGAATTATCACCCCTATCGATGCAAGATTCATCAAACCCTCTAAAGCCCCATTTGGTGCGCCAGTCCTATTTTAGAAGAAGGATGGTTCGTTACGCATGTGCATCGAATATTAGGCCCTCAACAAAATCACTGCGAAGAACAAGCATCCCATTGCTTAGATTGTCGATCTCTTGTCATGCACGCTACTTTTCGAAGTTGGATTTTCATTTGGGGTACTACCAGTGCACATTGCAGGAGGAGATGAACCCTGCACATTGCAGGAGGAGATGAACCCAAGACCACATGCGTCACGGGGTATGGTTCTTACAAATTCTTAATCATGCCCTATGGACTGACCAATGCACCTGCTACGTTTTGTACTTTGATGAACAAGCTATTCCATCCATACCTCGATCGATTCGTGGTCGTCTACTTGGACGACATAGTGGTGTATAGCAAGACTTTGGAAGAGCATGTCGAGCACTTGCATGAAGTGTCCAAGATTCTACGGGAGAACCAGCTATACATCAAGAAGGAGAAGTGTTCCTTAGCCAAGTCGGAGGTAATGATCTTGGGGCACAAAATCAAGGATGAGAAGCTGATGATGGAGGATGGCAAGGTGCATGCCCTCCAAGCTTGGGAGCCGCCCATGAAGGTACATGAGTTGAGACCCTTTCTCAGGCTGGTGAACTATTATCGCCACTTTATCAAGGCTATTCGGTGAGAGCTACTCCATTGACGGAGCTTCTAAAGAAGAACGAGCCGTGGGAATGGACACCAAAGTGTCAAGATGCCTTTGAAGATTTGAAAAAGACAATCAGCGAGAAGCCCGTACTTAGCCTACGGACCACACGAAGCCATCCGAGGTACACACTGATGCTTTTGAATTTGCCATTGGAGGTGTTCTTATGTAGGATAGGCATCCGATTGCTACCGAGTTGGAAGCTCAACGAGACTGAGAGGTGCTACATGGTGCAAGAAAAGGAGATGACTGCCAACATTCATCGCCTTAGAGTGTGGCGACACTACCTCCTGGGGTCTAAGTTCGTGATCATGACCGACAACGTTGCAACAAGCTACTTCTAGACCCAAAAGAAGCCGAGTCCAAAGCAAGCTAAATGGCAAGACTTCCTAGCCAAGTTTGACTATGTCATGGAGTATATGCAAGGAAGGGTGAACGCGGTCGCCGACGTGCTAAGCCGAAAGGCGGAATTGTCAAGCATCAGCCAAGTCAGCAGCCCACTACTGGGAGGATCAAAGAGGGGTTGCAGCAGGAGCCGCTTGCCCAAAGTATCATTGCCTTGGTGAACGCAGGAAGTATCATTGCCTTCGTGAACGAAGCAAGACCCGACAGTTTTGGCTAGCCGATGGCTTACTCTACACCAAAGGCAACCGCATCTATGTACCAAAGTGGGGCAACTTGCGAAAAGAGTTGATCAAGGAGTGTCATGACTCCTTATGGACGGGCCACCCAAGTGTGCAACGCACACTCGCTCTTTCGAAGTCTACTTACTATTGGCCCAGGATGGGAGAGCATCTCGATGGACTTCATCACTTGGCTGCTGAAGTCGGAGAGGTTTGGGAGCATCATGGTCGTGGTGGACGGGTTTAGCAAGAATACACCTTTCATCGCGGCACCAACCGACTGCCGAAGCGACGGTCAGACGAAGCGCATCAACGCCCTCTTAGAGCTTTACTTGCGTCACTACGTGAGTGCCAACCAACGGGATTGAGCCAAGCTTTTGGATGTGGCATAGTTTTCTTACAACTTGCAACAAAGCAAGGCCACCAACCGAAGTCCCTTTGAGATCATCATGACGCAGTAGCCTACCACACCTTTGTCCCTTGCCACTCGTTATGAAGGGAAGATTCCTATAGCATTTCAATTTACCAAGTTGGCATGAGCAAGCGGAGTTGGCTCGTGCGGCGTTCCATAAGGCTGCAAAGCGAATGAAGAAATGGGCGGACAAGAAGCGGAGGCACGTCGAGTTCAAAGAAGGCGATCTTGTCTTAGTGAAGCTTTTGCCACAACGATTCAAAGACCTTGAGGAAGGTGCACAAGGGCCTAGTGCGCAAGTACATGGGGCGATTTCCGGTGATCACGCGAGTTGGCAAAGTTTCCTACAAACTCTAACTTTCATTGAAGTTGAAGATTCATCCAGTCTTTCCATGTGAGTTTGTTGAAGCCATACAATGAAGACATGGAAGAACCCTCGCGCGGAGTTTTCTTAAAGAGCGCCAATTGCCATAGTCACTTCCTTCGACAAAGAAGTAGAGGAAGTGCTTGTTGATCGAGTGGTTTGACGAAGGGGCATGCCGAGCTATCGCGAGTACTTCATCAAGTGGAAGGGGCACCGAAGCTAGCTGGGAATCTGAGGATGCACTTTGGCGATTCAAGGACCAGATCCAGCACTTCAAGAATAACGCGACAAGGGCGTTGCGATATTAGGTGGGGAAGAATGTCACGCCCGATTTTCCCTCCGCTCAGCTACGAGGTTTTCCCACGAAGACATGGGCGTTTTTGTCATTTCATGAGGTTTTGGAGGGCTCTAGAATGCTCTAGGCTTGTAATATTTTAATATTTACTTAGCTCTTAAGATTGCTTCTAGGCTAAGTTTACGTAAGGGAGAAGTACTTCATGGATAAGTTTTATCCTTCAATTTTGCGTGCGATCGTTAAATCAGCGCCATGTGTTTTAATCTGGGTTGTCCGTCCTAGGGGCCTTGGCCGATAAATAGGGGTACTCCCTTCATTTGTACATCCATCAGAAAATTTGTAGTGAGAGATCTTGTAAAGCATTCTTGAGATACTTAATGAAATTCTGCTACTTTCTCACTTTTTCGAGTTTTCCTTCTCTTGTCCCTTTACTCTGATTTTGCTAGCGTTGAGTTTGTGTGAATTAGGCTTGTTAGCATAGCTCGGGAGTGCTAACACCGCCCGGTTGCCTTGCGAGAAGAAAAGGTCCATGACATTATGCCTACGTGTGAAATGGACTTTCACAGTTAAATCAGTTGATAGTCATATACCTTCTCTACAGCCTTCACATTTTTACGCCATTTTCTGCCCTTAGAGCCACTTCTTTCTTCTTGATGGAGCGCATCAGCTGCTTTCTTCAATTCTCTTGCCTTCTTAGCTAGTTCGGTTGCTTCCTACAGTACATCAAAATTCAAGGACAAATATTAACAAGTAACCACATCGAGCACGGGCTATCAGCATATAGCAATAAAGAAAATGAAGAATTACCTTGATATACTGTGAACGAGTAATAACAGCCTTCGGACGCCGAATGAATGAAAAAATGAGCCCCAGTGGTAGACAAGCAATACCAACCCCTCCAAATATCTGTATAGTATAGGAGGAAAGTGAATGCAAAATTTCTTGAAGTAGGCAAAAGGTACATCTATTTAAAATCTAATGAATTAATTTGCTCCATTAGATCAGAGATGGTAACACATTGTTTATTGCATACAAAAATACACCTTTTCAATATGCCAAAGAGAGAACCATTTATGTCCAGTGTCCCTGTATCTACTTAAGTATTGGACCTTAACTTTTGGAATTCAAAGTTATCATTTTATAAAATTACAAACCAAACATTTTTTTTTTTTTTTTTGAGGAAACAAACTAAACATTCAATAACAATTTATCACATATATTATATTCAAGAAAGAACTTACAGAGAAAAGAACAGATCCGACTATGGTAGCAAGAGCAACAACATATTCTGGAAAGGTCGTACGCATGGTCCATGTCTTCTCCGATGAAGCATTACTAGTATATGCAGAGCACTATAGAAAGGAGGAAAGAGGAGAAAAGGGGAGAAAAAAAAAACAGCCAGTAATAAGAAAAAGGGTTAACACATTAACTAAAAGAACAGCAAATCAAATGACAACAAATAACCACATAAAATGTATCAGATACATAAAGGAATACCATATGGAAAATTGAAACAACATGATCTATGTCCAAGTTCAAACCTGACGTGATCCACCTATACATTGTTGACCACTAGAGAAGCTCCATTCACCAGTAAAAGAAGTTGTGGTGGAAGAGAGGTGCCTAACAGTGAAATCCACCTCTCCAATAAGCCCTGATATGAGAAAACCATCAAAAAGACCAAACAAGAAAAAGCAAGAGGAAAACCAAGAGAAGTTAAGAGAATATGCAAGCAATTACCTAGCAAGAATGTTAGGCAGAATACGCAAAATGAATAAAAAAAAATATCCTCATTTACGAGGCATTGTTAATGTAATTACTTTTTAAAGAAATAAAACTTTGTTATAAAAATCATAAAGTACAAAGAACTCCAAACAGGAAAACGGAGGGTCCGCCAATTAAAAAAAACAAAACAAACAAAATTTTTAAAGAAACAGACATCAGGAAGAGCCACTTCCTAACCAAAACTGACATATTACAAATTCTTCATCGTTAGACAACCATAGAGCAACCCAAAACTTATGTGTTTATGATGCTAGTTTTCCTAGAATTTGAGCCTGTGATCACTCCCTTAACCCACCCCACCCTTACCAACTAGGCTAGCACTAGTTGATAAAGCAATTAAAATTTCACTTGCTCCAAAAGTTCACTTGTTGTCTAACAATGTAAATACATTTGCAATACATGGAGCAAATGAATAATGTTGAAAGATGGTGCATATTTGAAGATTGTGAAGACAAAACGAACACCATACAAAAAGAATAGATACCTCAAAACCACACGCACATTTCTTATTTATTTCAAGCGGGCAAACAATGGCATTTTCCATCTATTTCCAAGTAAGCTATACAATGTCTTAGTTAGTGATCAACCATAAATGTTCACATCTAAGCTCGGAAATGCGTATGAATTACTAATCCGAGTAATCCCATTAGTAAAGCAATTCCAAATAAATACTAGAAATAATCCACCTCAAAAGCTCAATATTCAGTTCATGAAAAGATCATTCAACAACCGAAAAACCCAAAACATATACAATGACACCAAAAACTTTCAATAAACTTACCGTATAAGATTCCGAGTACTAGACCGCACACAATGGCGGTTGTCACCACCCAAAGCAACGCGCTTTTGATCCTTTTTCCAATACTCCTGCCAAAAAAAAAAAAACATTAGCCATTGATTCGAAACCCTAGAAATTAAGCACATTACATTTCCCATGTCTATTTTAACAACATTAAGCAAAAAATAAAAAATAAAAAATAAAATAGACGAAACAAAGGTCCATACTTGTCCTGGTCCCCTTCGTAGTAGAACATTGCGAAGGGAATAACGAAGAACACGAGAACCGCGTCGAGGATGTAAACGGCGAGCCACAGATCCTTCATCGGGAGCGTGAGATTGCACGCGCCGTTGTATATCGCGTGACGGCAGGCCTGCCGGTTGGCGACGTCCGCCGGCAACATCAGGATGGAGATGGCGGCGACGGAGAGGCCCAAAACGACGATAAATTTGGGGAAATACGCCTGGTTCGCATCGTCGGGATGCTGGTAATTCACCAGAAGGTAAATGTTGAAGAGAAAGACAATGACGCACACGACAATGGCGACGATTACGAGCGCCAAATTGAAATCGCCCATGGCGTTCCAACGCTTTCGATTCGAACTCGAATCGAAGAAATATTGAACAAAATTAGGGTTTTCTTTTTCGATTTGAATAAGGATTTTTGGTGGATCTGTTTTTTTTTTTGTTTTTTCTTTTTCTCTTTTTTTCGATGGGAGAAAAAGAGGAAAGTTTCCGGTGAGGTTATTTGGGTTAGTGACGTGTGGGAAATGTAATGACGCTTTTGTACTCAGGGAAACTGTCTATTGGCGAGAGAAATTACGAAAATTATCAGGAGGTGGATTGGGGTTTAATGTAAATTACGGAAGTTGGCCGTGAAGAACATCGAAACAGCCTGTCGAGGCCTCGAGGGAGGGTGTATTTGATTTGTTTTTTATTTTCATTTTCATTTTACAACAAATACAAAACCCGTTCGAGGGCTTGTATGACTAGAACAGGTTTGCTCGCGAGTAAACCAAGAAAGGAAGAAAAAAATAAAATGAGATCTCTGATCCACTATTGTTTTAAACCTTTTTTTTTTAAGAAAAATATAGGAAACGTTTGGTTCATGAATTAGAATCACGTAATTAGAATTATTTTTAATTTATATGTATTTTTTATGAGAAAAAATACTGTAACGAACCACGAACCATAATTTAAATTAAGGGATGAATCCCCTAACCAAACAACCTCATAATCTTACTTGATACTTTTTTAATTAATATAGTATTTGATTAAAAAAATAATCAACTGTAAAAAATAAAAATTTAGATTTATATATTTTAATAAGTATTTTGTTGCGTTTAGAGTTATTTTTGTTTTTATTTTTTATATTTTTCAAGAAAAAAATGAAAACGGAGAGAAATGGTTAAGTTTTTAATGATCTAATTTGTAATTGCAATAGTACTTTTGTGTTGTACGTATAAATTTTTAACTTGAGCTTGGACAGGATAAATCAATGGCATTTTACTCCAATGATTAAAACAAAGTTGCTACTAATAGTTATAAGGATAGTTCTTCCTATAAAAGTTCTCTTAAAATATTCTTTTATATGCTCATTCTTTAACCTAATGTCAGTCTTCCTTATGTTATTTTTGTTTTTGTTTTTGTTTTTTTACGTAATCTTATTAATGATTTTTTTCTTTTTTAATAATTTTATTTTTGTAATGAAAATAAATTTTTACTGTGTCCCTATAAATATTTTTTTACTTCTTATTTGTACCCCAAATAATCTTGTATCTCTTATCTACTTAGGTAAATTACTTTTGTATTTTGTTTTTACTGCACTAAATTCTTAAGATAATAACAAGTAAAAAAAAGCAGTAAATTAAAATTTTAAATTTTAGATATAAGCATATAAAAAATATAACAAAGTAAATATGCATGCGCGTAGCACATGTTTCAACTAAATAAAAAGAAAAAGAGTGATTATAGTTATAATAGTTATTTTACATCCCATCTCATTGTTAAATATTGTCTCTCTTCTTTTTTTTTTTTTAGAGTTAGAATGATTAAAAAATAGTGTGCTCTATGAAATTACTATTTCCTTCTCCATTTCTTCTCTACCAAAAAACAAAGACTGTGTTTGGAATTGATCGCGTTTTTATTTTTTACGTTTTTTGAGAAAAAAAAAATGAAAACGTTTTCAAAATGGTGTTTTGTGCAATAAAAACAAAAAAAAATAGAAATGAAAATGATTTTTTATTTAGTGTAAAATGAGAAAAAAATAAAAAAAAAACAAAACTTTTAGTCGTTTTCGGGTGCGTTTGGAATTGGTTCCAAAACGTTTTTGTTTTCTGTACGAAAATGGAAATGAAAACGTTTTCATTTTCATTTTTGAATTATTTCTAAAAATGCGTTTGGTAGTTTTATTTAGAGATTGATTTCAGTTTTAAAAAAACTGAAACTGCATTTGGTGGTTTCATTTTTGAAAACATGTAATAGTATTTAATATATTAAATAAATAATAATTGAATCCCAAATAAAAACACTAATAATTAATAAAATATGAAAATTACAATATTAGCTTAAATTATTGTCACTTATACAAATCCCACATTTGATTAGCTAGATGATCCCTTAAATTAACCATGTAATTACGTTGTTGCCGACCACTCATTTCAAATGTTTCTGCTTCTTGTGCATCCATACCATGTTGTTGTTCCTGTTGCCCTTCTTGTTCTCCCTCAATATCTTCTACGGGCAAATCGACCTCATATTGTCTAAATAGAGGATCATCTCGCGCGTGCATCTTAATTAAATTGTGGACCACACAACAAGCAATTGGTATAACATTTTGTCTTGGCATCCAATAATTGGTCATATGTCTAAGAATTTTAAACCTTGCTTTCAAGACCCCAAAGCACCTCTCTATGCAATTACGCAGTGAATAGTGATAATAATTGAATAACTCTTGTGGTCCCGTTGGTTGGCCACCGTTTCTAAACTGTTGAATATGGTACCTCTGACCACGAATGGTGCCAAAAAGCCTTGCGTGTTGTTGTAACCGGAATCCACAACGTAATATTTTGGGGGGAGTGGCGCCACGAATGGGTCATCTGGATTTCTTATAATCTTAGTTAACACTCTGGAATCAGCAGTTGATCCTTCCCATCCGATATTGACATAAGTGAATAGCATATCAAAACTACATGCCGCCATTACATTTTGAGTACACGAATGTCTTCTTCCTCTGTAGACTGTCTGTTGATGTGCAGGTGGGACAACCATCATGTGTGTACCGTCTATTGCACCAATACAATCCTATTAAAATACATAAGGCGTGAGTTACGATTAATTTAAAATTATTTGTCATATTAGTAGTATATGAGCAGAGTCAGATTGTACCTTAAACCATGGCCAGTACTTAGGGTTGTGTTGAATCTCTGGGGGGACAATGTTCATATTTGGTAGTTTTATAACTTGAGGTGCTAATGCAGACAATGCGGTAAGCATATTATCAAAATGTCGGTGTACTGTCTCTCCAGAATGACAAAATCTATCTTGTATCTCTCTATTGCGATCTGAGTGAGCAACCGTTCTTAAGAACATCATTAGAGAATCTTCTGCTGAAATACTAGAAGAAGGCAGTAGGTTGCAGCCTCGAATTAACTGAACAATTGCTTCGAACGTGTCTTGATGCATACGACACATTTCAAACAAATTTTTGGGATATCCATGTAATTGTTCTAAAACATATTCTGGTCCTGTTAACGCAGAATTACGACGAAGTTGCCTAATTCGTCTCTTTCCAATCGACATCAATAATTGGATATAATGTTGTGGTTGTTCGTCATCATCTGATGACTGGAGAAAGTCAACAGCTCTGGCATCATTCTCACTATCTGAATCCATATTAACCTAAAAATGAACAAGACTGGAACTAATCAAACATCCATATAACATTAACTAATCAAACGAAGAACTCCAATATAATTCAATCCGACTAAAAACAAATAACAAAGTCTAACAAACACAAGTCGGAGAGGAAAATATGTTGTACATGCTCAACAATACTTTAAAAAAAATACGTCCAAGAGGAAACAAATAAAGAAAACAACACAATAATCATTTAAACGGTTGGGAATGGTGTCCTAGAAGCATGAGATGTAATAGGATATTTATTATTTATTTAATAAAAGAGTTTATTCATTATTTTATGTGCATATATTTATGAATATTTTATGAATATCAATAAAAATTCCATGATTATTTATGTAACCTTAAACATTGTATATAAGTGTTATATATGAGAGGATAATGTTTAAGGATAATAATCAAAAAGTAATGTTCATAATGAATTTAATTAAAGTTTGGAATCTTTAATTAAAACATTATTAATACATGTCATTCCCATTTAGAATGGAACGGTGTTATCCGCACTGTTGATATGGTGAGATATTGAATGAGTGTATTTCGCATAATGAGATTATGTGGAACAAGGACACAGACACAATATGAATTTCTAAT